TCTGTGTTAAAAAAAACTTACCATCAAGGGCAGAAATGACCAAATTATATATTATATATTATGTATTATAATATACAATACTATATAATATAATATGTAGTATTATACATTATAAATTCAAAACCAGACATCGACAGGTACTGAGCTGAATAATATAAAATCCTTGCGTCTGAATATTTAAAGCTCAGTATGGAAGGAGAATATACACATATGAGCATTTCCTTTGTTTCTTAATTTTCTTTTTTTACTGTTTGAATATTCTGATTTAGAACTACAGTCTGAATGTAGACTTCAAAATTCACCGAGTAAATGTTAGGTAGTAACGCAGAAAAGCCTTGTCAGGGTCAAAGGCAAAATAAAATAACGCACTTGGCTTCTACCCTCAAAAGTCTGAGAAATGATGACTTATTTATAGCCCCACACGCAAGTAACTGCAGGCGGCCCACAGCCAAAGGAGTGATGCATCAAAAAAGTGTTTACCCTCACCCTGGCCTGGGCCTGCCCTGGGGGCTGGGCTTGGTTTGGGTTGGTTCCTGTAAGGAGATAAGTATCACCTAGTCCTCCGGTGCTTGCCCCAAAATCAGGAACGCAGACTTGGCAGACTTGGCTGCTCAGTAGCAACCTTTCACCTCCCTAGAGAAATGCCACTAGAAAATATTTAACCCAACAGCTCCGGTATGCAACAGACAGGACAGGCCGAAGTCCTACAAAAATATCTGATTCATTGCTAGGGCACTGGAAATTGTGAGCTTCTCACCAAACATCATAAATATAGCTACCTGGTTTTAAGTTTCTAGCTCTACCCCCCACCCTCCAAACTCATCCTGTCGTTTTAGGAACGGCCCTTAAACACACACACATCGTCTGCACCCTGAAAGTCAATCATGGCCCCAAATTCTTCAAAGTAGTAAAACACAGGTATGTGCTATTCTTTCCCACTTCCCATTTTTGTGGCTTATTTTCTGTCCTGGGAAATCCAATTATAACAAGACAGAAAGCAAGCACGTAAACATGCAAATTCACTAATTAGTCTCACTCATCCTCCCAACAAACTAAAACATGGAGCCACCATTATACCCATCAGGGCTGGACCAGACCCCGAGGCTCCACTCCAGGACACGTGAGGAGCCAACTCACCCCTCAACCAGCCTGAGATCCGGCCTCCTACCCACCAAGGCTGGGAGGGCTTTGGTTTTTACCTAAATGGACCTGGGGCTTTGGCCATATCAACTCACCTTAACCAAAAGTCTAGATCAGGAAAGATGAAGTAGGGGAGCTAAGAGAACTAAGACCAGACCCGTCCCATACTTGACGGTTCTCATACAATAATGAGGCTAACCCCATGAGACATCTGTGAATACCAGAGGGGACAGCCCGCCATCCAATTTCTGACACAGATAAGCTGGAAGCTGGAGCTACCAGAACAAACTAGTGAAGCCAAAGACCTAGCGACCAGCTTCATGACTTTCTGACGAAAATCATTACTTAAGCTCAAAACACTAAGTTAGATTAACACTGTAACTTTCTGGGGCGCCTGGGTGGCTCAGTGGGTTAAGCCTCTGCCTTCAGCTCAGGTCATGATCTCGGGGTCCTGGGATCGAGCTCCACATGGGGCTCTCTGCTCAGTGGGGAGCCTGCTTCCTCCTCTCTCTCTCTCTGCCTGCCTCTCTGCCTACTTGTGATCTCTGTCTGTCAAATAAATACATAAATCTTAAAAAAAAAAAAAACTGTAACTTTCACGAAAGTCATCTGAAATGAGGTTAACCAGCATATCACTATAGACTTTTAAAGATATGTCCTGAAATATTAAACAGAAATGTATCCAGGTGGAAGAAAACCAACAAATTAGTAAGAAAAACAAACAAACAAAAATAGGGTAGAAAGTGGACAAAAAATAAGGATAAGCAAATAAGAAAAATCCAAACTGCCAGTAATATTTTTTAAATGTGCCCCCTCCCTAGTCATTGAGCACATTTGAACTGAAATAATTAAAGATGGGTCATTCAGAGTAGAGAGATTTTGGCAGTTACTGGATTAAATGGGGTCACTTCGGGCAGCTGGACCAGAAATGACAGCTGCTTGGTGATGAGACCGTGCACGCCAAACGTGTGTGTGTCACCTTTCTTGACTCATCTGGTCATGCTCTCGTGTCAGGAGGGTAAGCTTCCCAGCCGCAGTACCTCGGCAGTACCTAGTCAAACTGCAGGGCTCACGCCTCCCCTCCGGCCGCCGTGCTTCCGCATGCCCGCTAGCCCCATCCAACAGACAGGGACACTGCTCACTGTTCGCTGAGTACAACAAACACATAAATAAAAATAAGGGCAGGAAAAAGTGTGGTCCCTTCCAATGACGAACCACCACATTGCATTTAAAAAGACTGAACCAGACTTACATGCATTCACATGGGAAGAATTTAAAAACACAAGTTCACAAAGGAAAAAAGCAGATGCACAAGATTTACAGCATGATTTATTTCTAAAAATCACACATCACAAAATGTTGTATTTGGGGACGTACACAGGCATATGCACACATGACTAAATTAAACCCATAGACACTGGCTGCTTCTCAGAAGGGCAGGGCAGATGAGAAGGTAGAGAGGGGCGCCTGGAGGGCTCAGTCAGTGAAGCGTCTGACTTTGGCTCAGGTCATGATCTGGGGTCCCGGCTCAAAGGCAGTCTGCTCCTCCCTCTAGCCCCACCTCTGCTTGAGCTCGCTCTCATTTAAATAAAGTCTTTAGAAACATAAAAAACCTAAAAGCGTTAAATATTTAAAAACGTAAAGGAATCAAAGACAAATATAATGCAAGAATGAACATTTACTGGGGGTGACTACAAATACGCCTGTTTCATCATTTTTGTCTTTCTTCCCTTTTTTTAAATTTCTCGAAATGGAAATTTTCCTAGCATGCCTGGCCACCCTGGTGGACAAGATGCCTTGCTTCTAATGTCACAGTGACTCCTACCCCAGGAAAACGGGACTGAGAAGTGTCCCAGCAGGTAAGGACTACAGTCCTGAATCTGTCCCCCAACTTCCATCTACATCTTCATCAGGGCTTCCTACGCTCCCATTAGCCACTGAGAATTCAGCCTGAAATCCAACCCCAGTGAGTTTTGTTGTGGGTGTTTTTTTTTTTTTTTTTGAAATTTTATTTACTTATTTATTTGACAGACAGAGATCACAAGCAGGCAGAGAGGCAGGCGGGGTGGGGGGTGGGGAGAGCAGGCTCCCTGCTCAGCAGGGAGCCCGAGGTGGGGGGGGGGGGGCTCCATCCCAGGACTCTGGGATCATGACCTGACCCTTAACCCACTGAGCCACCCAGGTGCCCCTGCCAGTGAGTTTAACCCCTACCACACCTTCAAGCCTTGATTACACAAATGTCTCCGTTGAGTCTCTGGTCCTACAGTTGAGCTAGTTGTGTTCCAGCTCCCTGGAGACAAACCCACCAGAAACCAGCACCCAGGTCTGGCTGACCCACCCAGAAACTTCTCAAAGCACAACGACCGCCTGCGACGGGTCTGGGTCTTAGAAGTAAGTGTACAGAAAGCAGACGACAGCGGACAACAAAAGGTAGAGTTCACAGAGAAATGTCCAAAGAAATGCACGTGCCACGTACGTGACAAAAGATTAATACTGCTCACCTTCAGAGAAGTCTTACAAATTTTTTTAAAGATTTTATTTATTTATTTGACAGAAATCACAAGTAGGCAGAGAGAGTGGGGGAAGAAGGTTCCCCGCCCAGCAGAGAGCCCCATGCGGGACTTGATGCCAGGACCCTGAGATCACGACCTGAGCCATCCAGGCAGCCCGTTTTACTAATTTCTAACACAAAAAGACCCTGAACAAGACGCATTAACAACACAAAAATAAGGAATCAGAAGATGCAATAAAACGGCCAGGAAGTCTAACAATAAGGGGGCGAGCGCTTCCCGTGTCCATCTCCTTTCACCCAAGCGGCCCTACAGAAGCAGCACTTCCCAAAAACCCCTGGGAAGAAGGCGAAGCGTGTCCAGCATCTCAAAGCACAGGCGCCGAGCCCGGCCTGCGGAGCAAACCCGACGCCTGAGCACTGCGCCAGGCCGCGGGGAAAGGACGGCCGCCCCCTCGCTGGGGGGCCTCCGGACGGACAGGCCGCTCGTGCACCGCCTGCGGACGCACATTCCAACCGCCGGGCAGCTCCCACCGCAGCCGGCCGGGCTCTCGGAGGAAGCGCACGGAGGAGCCGGTCCCCGCCGTCCCCGCGGGACCGCACAGAGCCGCCCGCACAGCCGCCGGCGACGGAGAAGCTGCGCACTCGGACGTCCGCGGGCGCCGCTCCGGAGCAGAGGGACGCCGCGGAGCCCCCAAGCTCTCTGCGCCCCGGCGGTCCCGGGGCAGTTGACGGCGACGACCGGCGCGCGGAGAAACGCTCGGACCCCACGCGTGCGCTTCCCGAGCGGATCTCCGCGACGGCGGCGGGCTCGGAGCACCTCTACTCCGCACCCGGCGCGGAGCCGCAGGGACACCGGCGCCCACCGGCGCGCACACGCAGGGAGCCCCGAAGGCCGGCGACGCAACCCTTTCCTCCCGGACCTGCCGCACCCCGCGGGGACCCAGCCCCTGGCCCTCCGCAGGCCCCCGCACTCCCGGCCCCGCCGCCCGCAGCCGCCGGCCGCACCCCTCCGCCCTCCTCAGCGCCGCCCCCCGAGGCCCGGGGACCGGCGGCGGCTTCCACGCGCGTCAGCCCGCGGCCGGCCTCCACGCAGTCCCAGCTCCGGGGCGGCCACCGAGTTGCCGTGCGGTCTCCACAGCTGGGGACGCCCCCGTCCCCTCGGAGCCCCCAGCCCCCGAGCGGGTGGACCCGGCTCCGCGGCACAGCGGGGACTCCGCCTCCCCCGTACCCCGCGCCCCGGCGCCGTGGACGGGGGGGCCCGGAGTCCCCGCTGCGGCCGGCCGGGACCCTCCCCGCGCCCCCGGTCGTGGGCGCCCCCCACCCCGGGGCCCCTGCCCGGCGCGCTCACCCTCCCGGCAGCGCCGCCTCCAGATGGTGTCGGTGTGCAGGATGCGCCGGAACTTGGTGCAGACCTGGGCCAGGCTGGGCAGGTCGGTGCCCGGCAGCGACGCGAAGATCTCCACCAGCAGCTCGGGCGGCAGCTCCAGCAGCGAGCAGCGCGGGGGCGGCTGCGGGCCCGCGCCCCGACCGCCCGGCGCCCCCGCCACGGCCGCCGCGCCCGCCTCGATGCGCTCCTCCTCGGGGTCCGTGTCCGGCTCGCTGTCGGCCGCAGCGGTCTCGGCCGGGCCCCGGCGCTGCTGGCGGCGCCGACACCCCCGCGACGGGCCCACACCGCAGAGCCGAGCGCACACCGCCATGCCGGCGCGAGGGACGGCCGCCGCCTGTGCGCACGCGCCGCCGGGGAGCGGAGCCCCGCCTCCGGGAGCGGGGCGGGGCACGCCGGGCCCGCCCACGAGCCGGGGCCACGCCCCCGCGCCCCGTCGGCCACGCCCGCCGCCGCGGGCGGAGCCAACCCGCTCCCTGCGGTCCAGCCGCCGCCTGACGCCTTCGAGTCGCGGGCCGGGGTCCCGCGCCTGGACGCGGCTCGGGGAAGAGTCACCGTCAGCGGCTCCAGCTCGCACGACGGCAGCCCCCTCCCGACCGGCGACGTGCGCGACCGACCATAGCCCCGCCTGCAGCGAACGGGCCGACGCCTCCCCGCTGCGCTCCAGGGTCGCGGCGCGGTGGGCCCGGCCGGCGTGACCCACGCCGCGAGGACAACCCGAGGAGCCCCGAGATTGTCCTCCGAGAGCCCCCCCCACGACGGCCCGAGGATCCCACCGGACGTTCTCCCCCCGTAACACCCCCAGGACGGCCTGAGGACCCCACCGAGGTCCCCCAGGACCCCCCAGAATGCCCCCGAGGACCCCCTGGAGGTTCGCCCCCGACCCCCGGCACCCCTCCGGAGGATGTCCCGAGAGCGCTAGCACCGTGGCCGCGAGGACTCTACGCAGGGTGGCGCCCGGGCCTGTCCGGGGCAGCGGGGCGGGCTTGTCCAGCGCTCCGGACCTCGCGAAGCCGGAGAGAAGCCCGAAGTCTGCCCGTCGGACTCCTTTCCTCTGCGACCAGACGTGCCCTCGCTTCCACCCGCGCTGCAATGAGCGGGAAATGGGGCTGGTGGACCAAGACACCCGCTCCGGCCTCGTCGCCAGCGGTCTTGGGTGGCCCTGGTGACCTTGCTTACTGCGACCCAGGGCACGTGTGTTCCAGAAGGTGTGGCCCAACTGGAGAGACTGTGTACAGGCGTCTCGTGACCGCGACTTGCCTTAAATAGCTCACAGCAACAAGAACCTGTCGTTATTACTCATTTCCAGCCAGTCAGGCCCCGGCGGTGGGTGTGGTTACAGGAACCGCTCTCCAGCACAGCCCTGAAGCCTGGAGGGACTGCCCGAGTCTAAAGGGAGGCCTAGAATGCCCAGCCAGCGCCCAGTGTTTTCTGGGCAAGGGTGGCCGTCTTGCTAATAAGAAAATTAATGACCTTGCCGGTTCCCACAAATTCCTCAGTAGGCAGGACCGCCTCCATAGGGAGATCTCAAGGTGGGGAGGAAATCCAGTAATCAGGGAAGCACATCTTCTAAGAAAAATACAAAACTGGGGCGCCTGGGTGGCTCAGTGGTGATAAAGCCTCTGCCTTCGGCTCACGTCATGATCCCAAGGTCCTGGGACCCAGCCCCACATGGGGCTCCCTGCTCTGCGGGGAGCCTGCTTCCTCCTCTCTCTCTCTGCCTGCCTCTCTGCCTACTTGTGATCTCTGTCAAATAAATAAATAAAATCTTTTAAAAAATGACAAAACAGTATGTCTTAGATAAATCTTGACCTGCTTGGGTCCACACAATTGAAAGCCAACACCTACCTGACCTCTCTGCACCTAGCCCGCTTTTCAGTCCGGCCTCCCCACCGGCTTCACAGCGCTCTTGCCGGTAGTAACACAGACCCAAAAGCAGACTCATTGTGGCACTTACCTATTTAAAGGTATTTAATGGCCCCACTGACTCCTTATCACGTCACACATCATTGCCCAGTCTGCCGTCCAGGCCTAACCCCACACCCATCTCTCCAGGGAAGCCGTCTGATAATTCAAGGTCGTCAGCCAAGTCACGTCTCCTCTACCAGGAAGACCCATCTCCTGACCCTGTGCCACTAGAAAGCCAACCCTCCTCCTCTTGTCCCCAGATGGCATTTCCTAGGAAGGATGTTCTCTTTTTCACATTATTTTATTATAAACACTTGCTGCCTTTTATACCAATCTCCCTAGATGTCTCCATTGTCACGTGATATGCTAACGCACACCAAGCCGTCAGGAGTGTTTACTAAATGCTGAGTAAAAACAAAACAAAACAAAACAAACCTGGCTTAAAAGACTAAAAAGTGAGAAACATGAACCAAACAGCTTTAGAGAAGCCTGGTGGGACAGTGTTATAATCCAGGCTCAGAAGGATTTCAGCGAGCAGAAATGCATGAACCTCCTGTGATAAACTTTTGCAGCGCGCCCGACTAGCCTGCCTATGTGCTATGTTCTGCGTAGATCTATACATTCTAAAGGATAATGCTTGCCCCTGTTACATTTTTGTTCGGTTTGGTTTCTAATTCTGTCCACCCCCCAGCAGGCAGTTTTCTCCCAGAGGAGCTTAGAGTAGTATCCTTGTACAGAGTAATCTGGTTAAATTTTCATCAGAAGAATCATTAAACTATTTTTTTTAAAGATTCTATTTATTCATGAGAGAGAGAACGCACGCGAAAGCACAAGCAGGGAGAGGGGCAGAGGGAGAGGGAGAAGAAGCAGGCTCCCCAGGTGAGCAGGGAGCTGGACCCAGGGCTCTCTACCCCAGGACCCTGGCATCACAATCACAACCTGAGCTAAAGGCAGATGCTTAACCAACTGAGCCACCCAGGCGCCCCAAATGGTTAAACTATTCTGTTTATGGTTTGGATTATGCAACTACACAGGTAGGCAGACCTATTTGAATCTATACATCCTTGAGAGCAGGACTAACAGAAGGCCGTGTACAATAACCCACTCCAAGATGTGGAAGGATTGAATTCGTGCTAACCAGGTAGAAACGTAGCTGTGGGAGCGCGGGTAACCCCTAGGCAGGAAGGAACCCAAGGGGAAAGGTCTTGGGTAGCAGATAATTATTACACACCCAACCCCGAAAGCTTTGTGTGTCCTGAACACTTTTATAGTCCCTTCTGTATAACATATCCCATACTAAGAACACTTAAGGACGATGCGGTTAAAGCAAAAGGAGAAAAAAACTAGATAAAAGTAACCGTTTAACACTAGATGGGATTATAATAATGAACTCTTCGTTATGGAAAAGTGATCGTGGCTAAGGAGATCAGCAGATTACACGGCAGGCTATTTCTCAGTGGGTTCCCCAGAAGTCCCAGAAACTAGTGTTTCCTGGACCTGAGTAAACTGTTAACTTTACCCACTGTGGGTCTCACAACCCAGATGGGAAGAGTGACATCCTACCCGCTGTTCAGAAGAGACAGCCGAGGTAATGGAAAGAAAGGAAAACGTTCAAAAGCCAAACAAGAGGGCCACAGACTCTCAAGAGATGCTTCCCGTAACAGTCCCATATATGGGCAAAAGCTGGACTGACAGCAGTCCTGGAGGGTCTGCTTAGAATTAAGCTGCAACGAAAACCTGGGCAATGCCAAGCCAGCTGTTCACACTCATTTCGGGAACAGTACCAGGCTGTGTGGGTGACTGGTGACGGCTTTCCTGCCTGCGACTGCCTGCGGGTTTCTGATGGTCCATCAGACCCAGCTTCGCTGGAGAGGACGGGCTGCCCAAGGTGCCTCTCCCAGCTGCGGACAGGGCCTGCGAGGACCCAGCACCCAGGGAAGACGCTGCTCTGACCGGCCATCCACGAGGGGCGGCCTCACAATCCTCCTGACCAAATCCTTTCTGAGAATAGCCCCTGCCCCCCACTCTTGAGCAATACTTGTTTGTGTACTTGTTCTAAGGAGCAGCTGACACAGGATTGATAGGACAGAGGGCCAATAGTTGCCTAGACGTCCCCAAGGCTGGACTATCTCTTCCAATCAGAGGGAGGAGAGGTGGGACGGGCCAGGCAGGCCAGGGAAGCTGAACAGCTTCTTGGTTTGACTTGTCTTCCATGTCGTGTGTGGCAAAAATAATGTCTGCACCCCCGGGTAATGTTTCGTGCCTCATTTAACAGATTTGTAGAAATAGCTAGACATCACGATTTACAGCCATGGTAGGTCACTAAGGCTGGAGGCAGCACGTTCAGTTTTCAGGTTACCTTATTTTGTCCACAATTATGGTCATTTCCTATTATGGAAAAGGGAAGAGGGTCGAGTTATTTTAAAACTGACACCATCTGGCTTTCTAGAATAATAGTCTGGTAGTTTAAAGGCACCATGAGATTCCTGGAGAAAACATTTAATAAATTTAAAGATGTGTTCTTGCTTTCCTACTTTATGTAGATTATTTTAAGAAAACAGTATTGTTATTCATTTAAAAATACATCATACTATGCTTGTATTAACAAGATTAAAATAATTCATGAATAATATTACCACTCTGAAAATTATTCACTACATCAGACTGCTATGAAACTGCAGTCCGAGGGCACACGAAATTTCTCTAAGCTCCTTCTTTATCTATAGGTTAATGTAAGTTAATAAACTTTATATATATAAATGTTACAAATATGCTATACTTACATGGAGATTATGTGTATGAGACACCTTTACCTGCCTACAGCCTTGGATGATTTTCTGAGAAACATACAGGGAGATGTGGGTCAGATCAAGTGGGAATTCAAGGTTAGGGGAGGACTTTAGCAGTCACTGTAAACGTGGACGTCAGTACTTGAAAGCCACAGTGATCCTGTCCGGTTAGCAGCACAGCCCTTGAAATCTATCCCTCTGTGGCTGTGAACCCAAGGTCTGGGGTAATTCGGTAAAGCTTTATAGATGCCTAAGGGACTGGGGAAATATGAAACTCTCCTTCCCTTCCCCCAACCTCCATATGCCAGATAATTGATTTTTTTTTCCTTCTTGCATTTGGAACAACTGTCCAGCAAGAGAACGGAAAATCCATTTCTTACAAAATAGCCATTAAGCCAAGAAAGCAGATCACCGGTCAATACTTAGTAAAAAAAAACAACAAAACTCCAGAAAAGAAAGCAGCACAGTCCATGCTCTTCTTCTTCTTCTTCTTCTTCTTTTTTTTTTTTGTTTAGTTTTATTGATTTATTTTAGAGAAAGAGTGGAGTGGGGGGCAGACAGAGAATCAGAGACTCTCAAGCAGAACCCCTGCTCCCAGGGGAGCCAGACACTGATCTCACCACCAGATCATGAAAGGAGCCAAAGTGAAGAGTCCCCTGGCCAACCAACTGACCACCCAGGGGCCCCCGAGGGCTCTTTAAGACTCCAACCCTGGGGCACCTGGGTGGCTCAGGTCATGATGTCAGGGTCCTGGGATCGAGCCCCGCATCGGGCTCTCTGCTCAGCGGGGAGCCTGCTTCCCCCCCCCCCCCCCCCCCCGCCTGCCTCTCTGCCTACCTGGGATCTCTGTCAAATAAATAAATAAACTCTTTAAAAAAAAAAAAAAAAGACTTCAACCCTGACCACTTTGTTTGGCAGAAGGAAGGTACGTAACAGGCGCTGTCTTTTTTTTTTTTTCTCCAATTTTCAGAGAATAAACACAAAACACTCAAGACAGACCCCGTGGAACTGAGGCCTTCCTCTGCGACTCCGGACACCGGACAGAATGTCCCAACGCGGCGGCCTCGGGGCTGTTGCAAGGTGAAGAACGCGACCACGCGGGGAGGACCGCGGCCGGAGGTGACCCGCGGACACCGCCGTCGGCCGCGGGAGGACGAGCCGCAGCTGACTCCGCGGCTCCGGCAGGGGCACCCCCGCGGGGCCCGCTGTCACCGCCCCGAGGACGACATTTCGGACGGTGCGGGTGTTGCGTGCGCGGCCTGCGGACCCGGGCGGCGCTCCCCAGCGCGGCGGTCCCAAAGCGGCGCGGCGGCCGAGGAAGGCGCACGGTCCCCCGGGCACACGGCCCCTCCACGCTGCCGCGCGCTCACCCGCGACCCCCAGGCTCGGGAGGGCTGTGAGCGGGGGCCGCCCAGGAGCCGCTGCCCACACGCACGACGGCGACAGGGGCGCAATCCGGACGAGCGACCTGCAGCCCCCGGGCCCGCGGCGGGAGCGCGCGACAACGGTGCTTCCGGGCTGAGCGTTCTCGGCGTCGGCACACGGAGCGGGCGCACGAGTGACGCGGAGTCGCCAAATCAGCCGGGCCACGCGGGACTTCGGCGCGGGAACGGGGGAGCCCGCAGCCCATGCTCCCGCGGGGGATTCCCGGATCTGGACTACAGTCTCGCTGCCCCACCGTCTCGCTGCCCCGCGCCTGCGCACCGTGGACTCCTCGCTGCGCATGCGCGCGGCCCCGCTTCCGCCACGCCCGCCATGGCGGCGGAGGCTGCCGGCCTTGGCCCCGCCCCCCGGGACGCCGCGCCGGTCACCTGACGCTGCTGCGGACTGAAGAGACACAAGGGAAGTCGCTGTCGCCACAGTTGGGTCTTCTCTCGCCGTAGCCGCCTGCAGTCTGCAGCCCCCGGGACCCTCCGCCCCACTGCCTCCGCCTCGCCGCCCGCGCCATGCCGTCGGAGAAGACCTTCAAGCAGCGCCGCACCTTCGGTGGGTACCGCCGCGAGGTGGGGCGCGCGGGCTGAAGGGGGGGCTGAGGCGGCAGCCGGGGCGGCCGGGGTCGGCGACGGCCGGGGTGGGGGCCGGCGGCGGGCTGAGCGGGGGACGGGGCTGGACGTGGGGCTGAGCGGGCAGAGACCCGGGAGGGGCGGAGGTCGGGGACCCAAGGTGGGAGGGGATGGCGGCGGCCGTGCCGGGGGCAGAGGCAGGACTGAGCAGGGCCGAGGGCCGGCGGCCGACGGCGTGGTGCGGCCGGCGGGGAGCGTCGGGGTTGGCGGAGTGCTGAGGGGGCCGGGGCCGGGGCCGGAGGAGGCCCGAGGGGCCGAGCGGGCCGGAGGCTGGGCGGGGCCGGACCCTGGGAGCCCCCTCCCTCCGGCGGCCGCGTCCCGGGGCGAGGGCGGCCGTCCATCCGCTCCCGGCCGGGGCCGGGGGCCGATGGGGGGCCGGAGCTGTCGGACCGGGCGAGCTCCCCGCCGGCCGAGTCGCGGGCGAATCCGGGGAGCCCGCCTCCCCTCCCCGCCTCCCCGGGCCGATCTCGGGCGAGGGCGGCTGTCGGTTCCGGGTTGGGGTCGGGGCCGGGGGGCCGGGCCTGCGCGGTGGGGCCTACGTAGTCCCCCCAAACACAGCGGCCGTGTCGCTGGCGAACCCAGGAAGCTGTCCCCCCACACCCCGGGCGGGGTCTTGGGTGCGGGCGGCGGTCCGTCCGCTGCGGGTCGGGGCCGGGGGCCTGAGCGCGGTGGACGCTGGTAGCCACCCCCTCACCCCGACCGTGTCCGGGCCGACCGCGGCGGTCCGTCCAGGTGGTGGCGGTCAGGGCCAGTGCGCGGCCCCTTCCCCGGCCGGTCACCGCCGAGGTCCCTCCAGGACGCGCCACAGCCGAGCTGCTGAATCACCTTTTTGGCCCCCTGCGGCCGTGGCCCGGTTGTTTGCTGGGCTCTCGCGTCAGCCCTGCAGCCCTGGGGCTCGCTGGCCCTCGGGAGGCGCAGACCCTCGTGGCAAGGGTGCCCGTGGGGGCGGCCGCCGCAGGCCTTGCTGCGCCGGGCCCTGTGGAGGGAGGACACTAGTGTGCAGCTCAGTGGCCGTGGTCGCACGTGGCGGCCGACAGGCGAGCGCTCCTTGCTTGAGAAGGGGGGTGTGCGCTGGTGGCCCGGAGCGGGAGCGGCGCCCCCACCCCTGCACCCTCTTGGGTAGCCGGGTGTGGCGCGGCAGGAGAGCCGGGTTGTGCCTTTCTGGCCTGCCCGGCGCCCGCTTCAGCCGGCCGGTAGGTCCGCCCTCCGCGGCTGGGGCTCGAGACCCACTGGAGCCTCCCAGCCGCGGGTGAGACTGAAAGTCCCGTTATCACGTATTTCCGAGTGCCCGGGGTCCCCAGCAGCAGGAGAGTCCTGGGCCCACAGCCTGCCGGCCCCACCCGCGGCGTGCGGTCCGCGTTCACGCAGCCCGGGGGCCCCGGTCCCGGTGTTGTTCCCTCGCCTGAGGTCCGCAGCGTGGACGGGGGTGTAGAGCTGTGGCGGCAGCTACTGAGGGCTCGGTCCGCAGAGCGCCCGGCTGCGCCTCAGCCCCTCGGGGTGTGTCGTTCGGCAACTCGGGCGTGTGCGCTGCTGTGGATCTGCCGTGGGGACCTCTGTGAACTCAGTATTGTTTGGGTCCGTGCAGCCCCGAGAGCCACCTCGGAAGCACGTTTCCTCTTGGGCCTGGCTTCGTCCCCACTGACTCTTACACGTTAACGCTCACTGAGGGGCGCCTGGCTGGCCCAGTGGACGGAGCATGTGACTTGACCTTGGGTTGTGAGTTCTGGCCCCAGGTTGGGCATGGAACTTACTTAAAAAAAAAAAAGTAGAAGTTAACTGGGGACGTTGGTGTGGGAAAGATGGTTATTTTCTCATGACTGAAATATAGTTACTTTCCTTTAGCTTAGAGTATGTTTAGGTTTTTCTAGAAAAATATCTGAAGAGTCGGTGGTAAGAGTAAGAAAAGTGAGACTAACGTATTCTAATTCACCTGGAACCCGTGGCCCTGAGGGTAAACCAGGAGTGCCCCCATTTCTTCCCATTAGTTCATCTTACGTACACTGTTCGTGGGCTTGCCCCTTAGTTCACCTTTGTTCCTCCTCCCCCACTTTTTTTTTTTTAAAGATTGTTTTTGTTTATTTGATGGTGAGAGAACACAAGCAGGGGGAGCAGTGGAGGGAGAGGGAGCCCCATGTGCGTCTCGGTCTCCGACCCTGAGATCATGACCTGAGCGGAAGGCAGAAGCTTAAGCAACTGAGCCACTGGGGCGCCCCCTCCCCCCTTTGAAAAAGATCTCTTTGATAGTCATTTTGCAGAGGATCAAATATCATTTAATGGGTACTGCCTTTCCGTGCTCCCGTGCTGACCATTTTCACCGATTTGCAGCCCAATAAACGAGGGAAATCAATTCTTCCGAGAGAACCTCTTCAGCAGAACCTAAGAGCGGCCCCACTTAGCTGGAGCAGTTCTTTCTCTCTTCCAAGCTAACGAGTTCAGGTTTACCCAGACTCGAATATATCTCTGCTGATTCTACTAGGGTTGAGAGGGTTAAAGTGGGCCTTGGGGCTCACCCAAAACAGCCCCTTTTTGTAGAACTGGGTGGGGCCCAGAGAGATGAAGATCACGGTCCATCTAGCGGCAGATGTCTGGACCTGCACGTCCTCTCCTGCCGGGCACTCTCCCAGCCTCCCGTAGGTGGCCGTCATTTCCAGGGCACGAGATGGCCAACACGAAGTCCGGAGGCGTAGCGTGTGTCTGCAGGTGTGTGGAGAATTTCGTGAACTCCCAGAGTTGTGTTCGAGCAAATAATTCTGGATTTGGTCTGCTCACGTGGAGTAATGCGCTTCAGCTTCTGGATCGCCCCAGTTTACTTAATGGCACTTCTCTGCTGTGGTTTAGTGGTGGGCAGGTTTAAGCTTCTCCGTTACTATCAAAACAGTCAGCATGTCTTGGGGGAAGTTTATATGTTGGTCTAAAATAAGTAGCTCAGGGCCGCCTGGGTGGCTCAGTGGGTTAAGCCTCTGCCTTTGGCTCAGCTTCGGCCTCTGCCTTGGTCTCAGGGTCCTGGGATCGAGCCCCACATCGGCTTTCTGCTCAGCGGGGAGCCTGCTTCCTCCTCTCTCTCTCTGCCTGCCTCTCTGCCTACTTGTGATCTCTCTGTCCAATAAATAAATAAAATCTTTAAAAAAAAATAAAATAAGTAGCTCAGACTACGCCGATAGGTGGACAGTAGAGCGAGGGTTATGCCCAAACAGGCAGTGCCCCGCGGACCGCAGCTTGTTCCTCGCTGTGTGTCTGTGATTGACACACGGGCGCGGCAGCATCTGTTGTGCTTCCGTTCACTCTGTGAAATAAAAGTTTACTTGGAATGCCCTGGGGGGTCTCGACGCAGCTTTGCAAATGATCTGTTGGTAAAAATAAGACACCTTGGACTGCTTTCCTCCTGTAGGTTTGTAAGTCTTGCAAGGGTTGTAAGAGATGGGACAAAAGGAGTCTAGGAAGTGTATCTTGATACACGTTTGGACGAGTGTTTATTTCCATTGTGCAACTTTAATTTGTTTATTAACCATTTTGTGTGTGCAGGGCTGAGCCCCTGGCAAATACAGAGACAATTAGAAGCAGGTCCCGGCTGCCAGGGGCGCACTGTTGGAGAAGACAAATAAATTTTAAAAAACCAAAAAACAAAAAATTTGAGTAAAAGATTTGCTCCTGTGAGCCTTTGATTTGTGTTGTTAGTAATGTTTTCACTAAATATACTGTTAGTCTCTGGAAGTAGGTGTCTACTCGAAAGAGTGCGGCACAAGTGCACACCTTACTCGGTTACGCCGGGCTTACCACGGGGTTTTCATGCAGCTGGTCAGGATACTCAGGACAGTCCTGTTGTCGTACCATGACTTCAGTATTACTTGATTTTATCTCAAGGAAGTAACTTGTTTCATACCTTGGGTTTTCCCACCTTTAATGAAAATAATGATTTTGTCTTTTTTGGGCCATATTTCAGGGATAAATCAGGATAAACTTTTGGTAACAGTATAGAAATTATAGTTTCTGATTTGAAGCCTCACATCTAAAGCCTGTTTTGCTTATTTCCTTTTCCACTTGCCAAAAAAACCTGTGTCCTTGTATTAAAAAGAAACTCCCCCTTCTGTCTGAATGTTTCCACTTACCTTTTAGATTTATTAGGATAAGCTTTTTTTTTTAATTTGCGAGAGAGAGGGAGGAAATCTTAAGCAGATTCTGCGCTGAGTGCAGACACTGACGGGGGCTCAGTCTCATGATGCTGCAGTTGTGACTGGGATGGAAATCAAGAGTCAGATGCCTAACCCACTGAGCCACCCAGGCGCCCCAGTTAGGAGAAGCTTTTATTTCTTTATTTTTAAAGATTTTATTTACACAAGTAGGCAGACGGGCAGGCAGAGAGAGAGGGAAGCAGGCTCCCCGCGGAGCAGAGAGCCCGATGCAGGGCTCGATCCCAGGACCCTGAGATCATGACCTGAGCCGAAGGCAGAAGCTTAACCCACTGAGCCACCCAGGTACCCCTAGGAGAAGCTTTTAAGTGTGAAGCAGAGTCCAGGGTATATTAAGGAATTATCATTCATGTGCTAGTGAATTAACTATGATTTCCTCTCATCTCTGAAATAAACGTCCTTGACAAAAGGGACGGTTTTGTTGTGAAGAGGGTTGATAGCTAAGTCTAGGTGGCATAGCACCTTTTCCTGGGGGGTGGGACAAACATAGGGACCAGTCTCAAAGCTGAGAGGAGTCCTGAAGGGGAATCAGTGATACCCTCACAAATAGAGAAGGATTTGAAGGGTTTTGCCATGGAAAAAATCCTCCTTCTCCTGTGTTTCTCTGCTCTCCGGATTCTCCTAATCAGCTGCTTCACTTTGGACCCTGGACGTGGGGATTTTCAGAGTCATGCAATCAACTGGCTGTTCCACAATTGAAAAAAAAAATTTTTTTTTTTTTTTTTAATTTTATTTTTTGAGTAATCTCTGCACACCCAGTGTGGGGCTTGAACTCGCAGCCCTGAGATGGAGTCGATGACTCCTACAGTTTAACTCCATTCTGATTCCGTCTGCCTGGTGATAGCCTCCGATGCCGCGGGTTGAGTTCTGCCACAGTGCCGCCCTCCCCAGCCCCTACGGCAAACACTGAGTGCCGGTGCTTCTGACCAGCAGGCTGTCAGCCAGAGGTTCCGTGACCCCCTCGTGTTAATTACAGTGCTGTCCTGGCTCACAGGACAAGTGTTTATTTGCTAGGTTATTCGCTTGTTACGAAGAATACTAAAGCACACTAGCGCACACCAACCAACGGCTGTTCACAGGTGTGCAGGGTCGGCTACAGAGAGTCCTGCACACAGGAGCTTCTGTCCCTGGGCAGTTTGGTATGTGCCACTGTCCCAGCACCTGGAAGCCCTGAGTCCCATCCTTCTGATGGCGATTTCATTCCATGGGCTTGACTGGTAAAAGCACTGGCTATCAGGGATTAGTTCGTCTTCCAAGCCCCTTTCCCCTCCCTGGTGTTTGGGGTGGGTCTAAACATTTCAAACCCCAAGTCACTGTTCTTTTTCCATGGCAACAAGTCCCCCATCCTTAGGAGCTTTCCAAAAGTTACTGGATTAACATAAACTCAGACATGGTTGGTTAGGGTTTGCCATGAACAAAAAGAGATGGCCCTTATCAGTACCACTCTTGGTATTTAGAAAATTCCAAGGGTTTTGGAAGCTCTGCCAGGACCAAGTACATATTTTTCTGTTAGTGATCTCTCTAGTATGCATTGTGAACCACTAGGCTAAGCTTTCTATTAACAATAACTAAATTTATCTCTATTCTCACGTACCGAATAGGCCTGAGTTTGCAGTCTTCTTCTACAGCAGATTTGTTGGTGATTTTATCTTAGAGGCTGATTAGAAATGCTGGTGGGAAAATGGAAATAGAAGCTATATGCTTGTATTTGAACATGGGAATTATTTCAGTCATTTTTATGAAGAATGATACTAAGTGGTATTTTTTAGATCCAAGAAAATAGGCAATGGTAGAATATATTTATATAGATCATATCTTTTTTTCTGAAGCCACCAAGACTTCTCAGGAAGTCCATGACATTGATCATTCATATAAGTGATTATACTAAGGGGGAGGAGTACAGAGATAATCTCTCAAAAAAAGTATTCAGCAGTAGACTTTGTGTTTAAAACTTTTTGGATGGGGAGGGCACCTGGGTGGCTCAGTGGGTTAATAAGCCTCTGCCTTCAGCTCAGGTCATGATCTCAGGGTCCTGGGATTGAGCCCCGCATTGGGCTCTCTGCTCAACAGGGGGCCTGCTTCCTTTCTCTTTCCCTGCCTGCCCCTCTGCCTACTTGTGATCTCTGTCAAATAAATAAATAAAATCTTAAAAAAAAAAAAAAAACTTTTTGGAGGGGGCGGGCATTGAGCAAAACTCTTTTTTTTTTTTTTTAAAAAAGGTTTTATTTATCAGAGAGAGAGATCACAAGCAGGGGAGCAGGAGGGTCCCCGCTAAGCAAGGAGCCTGCTGTGGGACTCAATCCCGGGGTCCTGGGATCGTGACCTGAGTGGAAGGCAGGCACTTAAATGACTGAGCCACCCAGGCATCCCTGAGCAAAACTATTTAAAAGTCCTATAGGGCATTGTTCCCCACCCCCATCTCTTTTGGGCAGTCTCTTTTCCAGTAAGCACGGTATCATTGGAAAGCGGGAAATCACAAGAGAAAACCGTGTTGAAGAGCGTATGTTTCATCTGAGATTCCTATACCAACTTAAACTTCGGAAGGTTCACAAAAATGGACAGGCTGTGGGAGTCACGAGAGGAAGGATTGGCAGCGCCACGCGCTTTTAATCTGTTCATTTGCCGTTTACATTTGGCTGCGAGCCTGGGGTCCCAACCCTTGAAACCAGTTCTGTACTCTTGGTCTTGTGTCTTACCACCCGCGAGGGCTGTGTGATTGCATGTTGGTTTACACGGAAATGGCAGCTTGTGCCAGGTACGAAGTGCCAGTGTGTGGTTCCTCTCAGTTCTGGGGAAGATGTCCTTACTGCTCTGCCACAGCTACGGATAGCTGAATTTAGATATAGAAACCACCAGTAAAAATGCAGGAAAGAAGCTACACGTTGGCCCTTAATAATGCCTGCGTCTCTTCCTTTTCGTTGCAGAACAAAGAGTAGAAGATGTCCGACTTATCCGAGAGCAGCATCCTACCAAAATCCCAGTAGGTAGTCTCCAGCACCTGTGTTTCAGTCGTTGGTAATGTTCGCAGAGGACAGCACTGCTGAAGTCCTCCAGGACCGTGCCGTGGTGTGTGACCGTGGGACAGGTCTCTGCAGAGCTCCTCAGACAAGGAACGCCCAGTGTCCATTTCGTGACCTAGAATGGAGATGTCTGAACATGCAGTTCCTTCATCTGGTCACATTCTGTGTCCTCCTGAGTCCAAGCCTTAATGTTACACACAAGTCAGACGTATCCATCTGGGGGGAAAGGGGTGGAGGGGCTGGCACTGCTCGTGTTTTTTCAGTGGGAGGAAGTGTCCGCTCTGCTAAAGGAGGGGGACTGTGGTGGGAAAACCAGCAGTCAGGACTGAAGTGGGACTGAACTTTCCAGGCTCTGTTTGGGTGCCCCACAGAGGCCTGTTGTGCTTGGCTGCTTTGCAGAGACAGAGGAGAAACACTGCTCTTCTTGTCCTGTGTGCGTGGCTCAGGTGCTTCCTGCTGTGCCCAGGCAGCAGCGCCTCTATCCCCAACCCCTGCTGACAGACGCTAAAACGGTATCTGCTGAGGTGCCAGGTCTGGGAGCAGTGGGTAAGAGGAGCTTCCGGTTTCAGGTGGAGGCTGAGTTCAGGCCTTTTAGGTTCAAGGGTGCCGAGGGTTGCTGAGCTCGTTACTAAAACTCTGAAACGGGCTGCCACGTCCTAATCTGTAAGGTGGGGAGAGATTCCCACCCCACACAATATTGGAAAGATCAGCCTAGTTCTGCGTCCACGGTTGTTACCTCCTCGAAATGCTGCAGCCCGCTCAGAAAGACACTCGGCTGTTAGAAATTCTGTAGAAACGTTCCCGTTTGGCTTTCTGACGTGTCCTCTCACATGGAACTGAGGAGAGAGAGAAGGTCCAGGGCTTAGGGCTGTAAGGTGCACAGAAAGGAGAAGATGGGTCTCCCCAGCATTTTCCCAGCTGTAGAACTCTGCAGTAAGACACAGTCTCTGTTTTCCTTGGACAGCTTAGAAATTTCAGTCTTTCCTTATATTTGGGGTCAACATAGGGCCTGGGGGTTTTCCTCATTAAGGTTTCCTTCACCTTTCAGTGCCGTTGGGAAAGCCCGGCAGTCTGCCAGGATTTGTTCTGTGTCTGCAGTCTCCTTTGAAACGTGATTATCTGCGAACATTAGCGGCCCTCCATTCTGCTGGCACTTCAGGGGTTTTGCAGAAATCACAGGCTTGTACTTCCCATGGGTGCTTCTGGCCCCTGAACAGCTTGAGAGGCACTCCTTACTGGGACTAGCACGGCCGGACGGAGAAGGCAGGGCAGCTCGCTGGCTCTCCAGACCCCGGTCTCCACTCCCTGAGGATGGCTTTGTCTTCCGCGATCCTGTCCATAGCACTTGACAAGGCACTTTTCAGGTCTAGCCAGATGCCTTACTCGGGACTTAACGTGACTTCTCTCCCAAATTAAAGTTCAGGAAAAAGAAAAAATAAGAACCGAAAAGTCAACCAGTCATCATACCGGGGATTGTTTTCATGGAGCTCCGCGGCACTGGAGAGTCAGGGACACCTGAGAGGAGGGAAGTGCCCAAGGCCATGTTGTCCTTTGTCTCAGGGCTGCTGCTCTGTCTTCCTTTAATGAATATGGTCTAAGGTCAGGAGATTCTCTTCTCATTCTGCTTCTGCTCTTCCTGGGCCAGTAAGGTAAGATTTCTGTATTGCCTCTGAGCTCTGATGCTGGTCACACCCAGGCAAAAGTAGTCTGTGTAGTGAATCTTCCTTGCGGCTCCCACGTTCTGAACACACCCCATGGATAACAGCCCTTGGTCTTACCAAGGAAGGGAACAGCGGTTTGATTTGGCCGTACAGAACCTTCTGTGGGCCCCATAAAGTGGAACAATGTGCAGACGAGTATCTTCCCCTTTCCTAGAGAGACAGGATGCGAAGATTTCCCCTCCTCCTCTCAACTTGTCATTGTTGCGGTGAGGTGGAGAGTTGCTTCACCTGGAGAAGAGTGTCTCTGGTACTCTGTAACATAGGAGGCACGGGCAGTCAGCACCCCGGGGCCAGCGTTGATAGTGGCTGAGAAGTAGAAGTTGTTTGTCCTCTGCGGAGAGGAAGTCCCGCAAGAGAGCGCATGGATTTGTTTCCGTTCCTGATGCAGAAGTATTTTTGTTCCCTGCACCGTGCAAGATTCTTGACTCTCAAAACTCAACAAAGAAATACTAGGAGTATTTTGTCAAAATGAAAGGATCTTCAAGCCTTTCTGCACAAAGTTTGTCTCCAGAACCAGCTGATCGTTGTCTCTACTTACCAGATATTTACTCAGGACTTTTCCACATCAGGCGGAGAAACCGTCTTGTGGGAAAGAAACGGGTGGACTGCGGAATCGCGGTCGCTCGTGCTTCGGAGGAGACAGCGGCTCCGCAGTCGACATAGATCCAAGCTGGCTCCTGCCATCTCCTTGTACTTCTCGGACCAGTTAGTGTTTTCACGGCTCCAAATACCCGGGACCACCGAGCGGCTCCTTTCAGCCCCTGCTTCCGTCCCTGGAGGCTCACTTCCCTGTGAGGGTTGGGGGTAAACGATCGCTCTTCGCAGATCTGTGGGGAACTGACGTGTGCTGTTTCTGTCTCAAACCCCACGCGGTATGTGCCAGCTCCGACACAGAAGTATCTCCGCTCTTCATTGTTAATGGTTATTTTAAAATCTCTCCTCTGGCTGCTTTTCTAGGTGATCATCGAACGGTACAAGGGCGAGAAGCAGCTTCCTGTCCTGGACAAAACCAAATTCCTTGTACCTGACCATGTCAACATGAGTGAGCTCATCAAGATCATTAGGTAATCACTGTTTTTCCTGTTTCTTTGGGTGACTGCTTGTTATGTATCAGACTTACAGGTAGAGCTTCAGTTCCGATTAACATCTCTGCAAGCCTAATAAAACCTAAAGACGTTTCCTTCCTTTCTGAGTTCTTCTCTTACCTGCTGGATCTCCTGTCCCTGATTTTTTTCATCATAACATCTAGTGTAGATGCTTTTTTTTTTTTTTAATTTTTATTTATTTGACAGAGAGCACAAGTAGGCAGAGCCATGGCAAAGAGTGAGAGGCAGGTCCCCCGCTGAGCAGAGAGCCCGATGCGGGGCTCTGTCCCAGGACCCTGGGATCATGGTCTGAGCCGAAGGCAGAGGCGTAACTGCCTGAGCCTCCCAGGCGCCCCCTAGATAAGTTTTTTACGACAAAATTAGTAAAAGACAATGCAGACTTGGTAGAATCGTAATGAATAGTTTGTAAATTATAGTTTGAACTCTTTCTCTCATTGGACACTCGCGGCTGTTCAGAGAGCATCCTAAGGTAAAGCTGGCCTGGGGGACACGGTAAGGACAGTGTCCGTGTTACCGCTACTACCAGTCACAACGTGATGCTAGAAATGTCCTGTGCTTGTGAGAAGTTGTAGCTACGACAGTGGGTCTGTGGGCATAGGCATTATTTTGCCAGAAGCAGCATTTCCAGAAGCTTTATACTTTGGTATCAAAGGGAGTGCAGGATGTTTTTGCATTTCCCTTTTGCAAACTGATGCGCTGATGTCTCCTCACGTTGTCTTCTTCCAACAGGAGGCGCTTACAGCTCAACGCTAACCAGGCCTTCTTCCTGTTAGTGAACGGACACAGCATGGTGAGTGTGTCCACACCGATTTCTGAAGTGTATGAAAGTGAGAAGGACGAAGACGGATTCCTGTATATGGTCTATGCCTCTCAGGAGACATTTGGAGTGAAATCGTCTGTGTAAGACTAGAAAAATGCATCTGTTCTTGAATTTTTTTAAACCCTTACCAAGGAAAAAAAAAAAAAAGGGATATTAGCAACTGAGGGTTGATCCGATCATCCAGTCACAGATCATCCAAACAGTAGTGTTCCTGCCTAGGAGTTTTAGGAAGTTGTTTTGTACCACAAGCAGGAAAACTGGGCTCGGTGAGCACATCCAGCTTTGGAAAACTCCATTATTTAACCTAGGCTGTTTTGTTTTCAAATTTAGAAGTTTAAAAATAAAACACTTTGCATTCTAAGTTGCCAATAAAACAGACCTTCACCGTATTTTAATGCTCGTCCCCTATTAGGAGCCTGTACTTAAGCCTTCAGAGGCACGCTCTTCACTAGGTTCACAGCCAGCGCGCGCTGTAGGGGTTTCTGTCGGACGGGGAAGCGCCTGAGAGGATCCGTGAGCGTGAGCTGTCGAGCGTCCCTCGCCCCACCCCAGCCCGCCCCGTTTGCCATAGTCGTGGGCAAAGGGCAGGGAAGATGGGGCCGGAAAGCGCTGAACCCGCTCCGGGTTCCCGCTCCTAGTGTGCGCGCGCCCGAGCTCGTGCTCTCGCGGCGCCGCAGACTCGTTCGCCCTTCCAGGCGGTGACAGAAAAGCGCCGCTGCTCAGTACGAACCTTGGATCATTGAAAATGTTGGTCTGGTCTCAAGGCGCCCGGAGAAGGACGGCGCGCGTGTCTCCCGGCGTGCGGGCTCTCCGGGGTCCGGCCGCCGCCTGCGTCCGTACGGGGAGCAGCGGTTCTGTCGGTCCCGCTCTTAGGACGGCGCGGGAGCCCGCGGGACGGACCGAGGCGCCCCTCGGACGCGCGCCCTCTACCGTTTGGCCTAAAGCTGTAGATGATGCGTGTTGTGTTAAGTGCGTGACTTGCTACAAAGTCGCGTGTTAGTACTTCCGTTGTCCTTGCGGGTCGTCCCACCGTCAGAGCCCTCCCCGCCGCGCGCGCCGAGACAGCCGCGGGAGGAGACCCAGCGTCCCCGCAGGCGCTGAGCCTCTGCCGAGTTCAGCCGGCGCGACCGCGCTCCCTGCGGCCTGCGCGGGGCCCGCTGCGTCGCTTTCGGCGGGAGGAGCACAGGGAGCCCGCGGACCGCCCCGGACTGGCCGCGGCAGGTCGCGCCTCGGCTTGTGTCCTTCGGCGTGCGCCGCGCCCCTGCGCCCGTCGGGGGACGTCACTTCCTCAGGAGGTGGCGGAAGCCCCAGTCCCGCCTGCGCGCCCTCGGCCCGACCTTCCCGCCGCGTGCGCCCGGCCACAGCCCCGGAGCGCGTGTGCTGCCGCAGGACGTGGACCCCGCCTCGGCCCGCCGCGCTGACCGCGCACCTCGTTCTAGCTCGCGTTCTTGTAACCGCTGTGTGGCCCGTGAGGCTCCTAGAAGAAACCCTGCTTTTCAAAGACGCGAGTACCTTGCAGGGAGGGCGACTTCCACTCCACCTCGGTGCGTGGTCACTAGGCTCTCGGAACCAAGTCCGTTTCTAATGAACTAGGGTGAATAAAGGCGAAACTAAAAACTCCTCACGCTCAGTTCAATGGGTCAGTGTCGGATGCGTGCAACGCCGGGCGCCGTCTGTGCTGCCCCACGCCAGGCGGCGGGGCGGGCGGGGGCAGGGGCGCTCACCCCTGAAGGCCTCGGCTTTGTCCCAGGCGCCCTCCTCACCTTGGTCCGGGTTCTGACCGCTCGTCTTGTCTTTGCTAAGCAAATCCTCCTGAGAACTGAAAGACGTGGCACAAGTGAGCGGACGGATGCGGGACCTGGGTGTCTCGTGGGAGTACGCGACTGGGACACCGGCCACGCCGTGGCGGGGTAAGATACAGACTTGGGCCGAGTGGCCGGCGTCGCTCACCGGAAAAGCCCCGCGCGTCCCCAGTTTAAGCGGCACTTGAGCTGTCCGCGGAGGAACGCGGGGCGAGAGGAGGAAATGTCCTGCCTCCCCGGGTCTGCTGCTCCGGCGCGCGTGGCCCCTTCAGAGGCCCGGCCTGACCAAACAGCAAGTCCCGGGGCTGCGTGAACATTTCCCTCTGAGTAGCCACAGGCCCGACAAGAGGCGCTGGGGACCTCCTGGGGGGGGGAGGCATCAGGTTTCTCCCTCTGGTGTCTGGCAGGGCTCATGAGAACACCAGGGTCCCGCGCCAGCTTTCGCTCATTAGACCGCCGCCGTCCCCAGTCTCGGAGGACGGAGCTTCAAGTGCCAGGACATGTCCGCGCCGCGCGTACCGCACCGCGTGTCTGCAAACGTGCCAGAGAAACTTCACATCAATTCGTGCCAATCTTGACTTCCTACGGAACCTCGGGCTAGAACATCCCAGATCAAGAGTTAATGTTTCTGGTCATAGCAAGGATATCTTTTAAAACCAGGGAAACCTGACAGAGAATGGATTTAAAGCCATCTATCTCTCTTGCCAAGTGGAGAAGGCAGAAAGGGCTGACTCCCTAGTTTGCAGATCAGGAACTGGCGATTTATTTGAAAGGACGTGTGCCTCATATTCTAGGAGATAAAGACCTAATAAAATGAAACAGCTTTTTTTAATTTTTATTTTCAGTACATTAAATTTACTCATAAAAACATTCTAAAAATGTACAATTTTTCCTTTTTAACAAAGTATAATAAAACATAAAAACTTCAAAAACAATACTTAACATTTACAATTCAAAATCAAATTAGCAGAATATTAAATATTTACAAAACTATATCTTTTAAAAATATTTATAAAGTTACATGCAATTTTGTAGAATTGACATAAAAGAATGGCTCAAAAATGGGAGAATTTTCCTTCATTCCTAAAAAGAAAATCTGTCCAAGATTAGCTGTGAAGATTCTCGAGTACACGAGGTCTCTGGTTTCAGTACCAAAGCCTTCATCTTTGTGCATGTAAGAACTTAATGCATGTGAGAGGCTTGTAAAATCCCCGGGACCGACTGACGAGCCACACTGAGCTCCCCTCCCACAAGAACAGTGTAGTCAAGTTGACCTTTGGCCTCAACCAGCAAGTATGTGGTTTTGCGAGTGTTGACCGAATCCGTTCTAGAACCTCAGGATTTTGCAAACTGAGCCTCTTCAGGACCCACGGCTTTAAACGTCCCCTGACTCGTTCTTTGGGAGTCATCTGCACGTTGAAAAGGACACCCGCCCGCTCGGGTTCCACAGGCCCATCCATCCTCTGGGAAGGACATGGTTTCCCTTACCATCCTTAAGACTCACAGGTACGCCATCGCTAACCAGGACGTAAAACCAGCAAGGCATCAAAGAACCCACCACAGAAGCAGGAAGAGTACAAAATGACGGAGTGAGGAGGGCACAGCCCGATTCCACTGGGCCAGCACTCTCCAGCAACACTGGAGCGAGCCCAGAGCAAGCTTCGGTCCGATCCAGATGGATCAGACTGGCCGGTGCCCCCTCGGGGACGCGCCGCAGCAGCTGTGTGACGCTGGGCGGGGTTGCCACCAGGCCTCCGTGCCCCGGCACAGTGCAGGGCAAACTAGCTACAGTGACTTCTAAATAGTGAATTAAAACACTGAACCTACTGGCTACTATATTCACAAGCCGACTCCTGTCATCCGGATTACAGATGATGCTGGTTGTTGGTGGTGGTTTTTCATACCCAATCACACATACCTGCTTCGAAGAAAATAATTTTGTCGTCGTAAGTGCTAGCTCCCATTTCCTCAGTGCTCTTCAGCAATGACAAGTTTCAACATTTAAACACGTTTCCAATTTTCAATATTACCATGAAATAAAAATTAGAAAAGAAGGTAGAAAACTGAGTGTTTGCTTAAAAAAAAAAAAAGATTCAATAGTTCTTTTATCCCAACATTGTATTCCACTTCAATCTGTACATTCCACTTCCCCCATTCTTGGAGACAAAAAAACGGGGATAGAAACTTTGATATATGACAGACGACACAGAGCAAAGTGGCTGTGCCACACCTACCGGTTGCTACAGCCTTTGCAAACTGAGCCCATGATTTCAGGGAAATGACTACGTAGTTGAAAGGGTCAGTCAGATCTGTGTTTCTAAAAAGATGAGGACATCTGAGGAAAAGCAAAATCGCTGTTCAGGCTTACGGACTTTGGTTGCTTGTGGAGAGAAATTTATCAGAGATGACGCTGCCAGCAAACATTCCCAAGTCCAAGCGTTCACCTGGGAAGAGTCTCACGGATGCGCAGCTGGATGCTTTGTGTCCCGTGTCTCTCACATTCACGTTTCTCAATTCTCACCTTGGAATGGCCTCACTGGAGACATCACACCGCACATGCACTTTCAAAGACAAGTGGGAATTTTGCTAAGACCTTTGATGACTGGAACACAGCCGCACAATGTCTGGACTTAATTACCTCCATTTGAATGTCCTACTTCGAATCGAAGCTCGTATTTTAATTTTTTGTTGTATGGAACACACTAACTGCTAATATTTATCAAAATAGTCATAAGGGTAACAACAGACACTTTCATTCCCCGATACTGACCACTAAAACAGAAACCCTAAATATGATATTTTTTCTTTTGTTATGAGACAGTTTTCAACAATTTCACTGTGTTGAAATAGGATTTATTTAAAATATTTCTTTGTTTAAAAAACCAAAAAATTTAAAAGTTTGGCTTTCAGCACATGTCCAGGCCACCATAACGGCCTTCAGAAATATTAAAATCGTAAACATCAGTGGACACTCCCAAGTCTTCCTTTAACATCATATGACAAGTTCCAGGCTCCTACTCTTTAAGGCAAAGTTGTGTCAGTTCTCATTATTTTTACATTTTGTAGTGTTTATAATTAAGAGATCAATGTAACATTCCCCAAAAAAGCTGTTGTAAGCATCACCATCACTTCAAAACTGTATGTAATACTGTGTACCAGGAAGAGAGAGAAGCATACAGAGGTCTGTCAATTCTGCATTGCATAGAAATGAAACTCTACTAAAATAAAGCTCTAAAAAAATTCTACGAAAAGCCTTAAAAAAAAAAAAGGTAACAACTCTGCTCAAGTTTCCCTCCAGCCAGGAAACTGATCATAAAATTTGAAGCCTCACATCACAGAGCCTCAAATTCTAGGGTAGTCTTTTGATTTACACCAATTCGGCATGAGGCTGATTGTCCCATTTTAAGAAAGGTCTGAATATTACGTTTTTCTGTTTTTAAATAAATATTCAACTGCAAAATCCCTGGGCAAGGCCTTACCAATCAATATTTTAATACTGAAGGCTTTAGTGTTTAAAGCAATAATATTTGAGCAGAAAATTCCCTTTTAGCTTTAAAGGTTTAAGTCCCTAAATTTCGGACCAAGAAGCTTTC